GAATGGATTTGAGAGGGGGGAGACGAGAATTAGCGACTGTCGGGCCGAGCAGGCAAGCGGTGCGGCGCAAAGTGCGACGAGGGGCTAGTGTTATTATCGCAGATCTCCGTGCACTTGAGCGCCGCACTCGCATGTCTCCGGAGAGCTGCGGGCCAGGCTGCTGCTGAGCTGCTACTGAGCTGGGATATTGTATGGTTCATATAGTCGGGAACTTTGCTGGTGTTTGTATAGACGCCGACTTTTGCTACATACTCGTGTGGGCTCTGTAGCAGTCCGGACGACTGTCTAAGATGGGCCGCCCGAGCGCGTCCGTGCTTGAGTGACTGTCTCACGTGGCGGGTATGTCTGAGCGCGCAGAATCGATAATGCCACCGAACGCCGGCACTCGCTTCTTAGCGTGTTCTCATTTGCATCGTCCTCAAGGCAAAGATTTTCACCAGCAGCACTGATGCTTTTTCTGGTCTCCTTTCTCCCGCTCGCCTGTCTCTAATAGTCCTCATCTCTGCCTGAGTGCTTATCTGGACTATTGTACTGACCCTTATTCTCTCTTCTCTTGCAGGCCGTCCTTCCTCTTTGACTCCCAATTTTGTTGGGCATGCGTCTTGTCCCTTACGTTCTTTCTTTTCGTCTCTTCAACCGCCTGTGCGTTGTCTATCCAGTCCATTCACGCTGCTGAGACTACCGTATATTCCAGGCATGACCTCTCAGCAGCCTCCGCCGCCGCAATTCTACTCGTACTCTCGTCCACCTGCCCGAAATAATAACAACCGAGATGATGCGCCAGGATCTTCTCAGCCTCCTGTTGCAACCGGCATACGTCAGCGCAGTGCAATAGCTTGTCGATACTGCCGTCGGCGAAAGGTACCTTCTGCTTTCTCATAGTTTGCATCTTTTGATCTGTTTTTGAGCTGAGTGTTAATGTGCTGATATAGATTCGCTGCTATGGCTATGAAACCAATCCCGCTGATCCTAGATGCACTAATTGCATGAAGTTCAATCAACAATGTATATTCATGCCCGTTTCAGCAGTAGTCAGCGTGTCGCCAGAAGAGTTTGCCTCACGATCGGTTCCTGACCAGTCGCCTATGTATTCAAATGCACACCATCAGATGCCCGCTACCTCATTGCAATATCGATCATCGCCTTATCAGATGTCTCTTGTTCAGCAACCTCCACCACCACCACCACCACCTACCGCTCCATCTTCAGCGCCCACATCATCTGGATTCGCTACTCAGCCCTCTTCCCCACATTTCTCTCACCCTGCTTCACAGTCGGGGTATACTTCTATGCGAGGATCCACAGACCCGACTAATTATCGTCATTCTAATGTGCGACGATTGTCGGTACCCGAAGCTCTGCAGCATGTTCAGCCCATGACTCCTTTACAGTCGCTTCCACCATCAGTACTGGATATTTCTGGAAATAGAGCTCGGAGCTTCTCCAATTCCTCAACAAACTCAACATCATCTATAACAGCCGCAGAAACTCAACAACAGAATTTACTGACCTCCTCCACAAGGCTGAGTCACTTGATGCAAGCGCAGCAACCCATGTTAACACAGCCTGCGCCTTCTGCTGTAAGATCTGCGCAGTCAGAGTTTGCGCAGTCAGCTATCCATTACTCTCCTCCGGTAAGATACGATTCTCAAATAAGTCCAGAGTCCCCACGACAATATCATCATAGTACGTCGTATTCGGGCGGCGCAAGCACTGGCTACTCTTATGCACTGGATACGCGACATCCTTCATATGCTAATCAACAGCATTCTACTCCGCTAGGTTATGTTCAAGCTTATACTGCAGGTCTGCCACTTCCTCTTCCTAGTGTATATCAGATGAGTCAGACTACAGCTAGTCCTGGTTCTGCAGAAACTCCTTCAGGCCTCGAGAGAGACTTACATCCACAAACGGTTCAAATTCCGGGATCTGATCAACTTCCTAGTGGACAGTATCCCAATTTTTCCGGGTTCCCTGCAGCCGAACAATCTAGCAAGAGGTCTCACACGCCATCTAGCCAGTCACCTCCGACCAGGCCGGGAATTTCTATCTCAAACTTACTTGATCCTTCTGGTGAGACAATTCCGTCTCGACCAAATAACGAGCAATAATAACCTTGCATATTTTGGCGCTTAATTACTTTGTGCTCTTTTCATTTTTATTTTGCTGTTCTGATCAACAATTACTTTGAATTAAGGGCGGTTTATAACGATATTGTTTTCATTTCTTTTCAATTGTTCTGGGGGGCTTTTGGAGTATGTGGTGGGTCTAATGTATTTATGCTTTGCAGTGAGGGTCGATTTTGTAAGAATACACGCCTACTTGGTCTGGTTAGGGTCGGTTACGATGATTTTGTATTGAAATTTGTTTATACTGCATTTTTGTGGATTTTTGCATGACGAGTTATATATGAGTTGGCGAATCTAGTTGCTCATGGGTGTGGACAATTTTATGTATGTTCAGTCAATTATAGAGTATAGCAGATGGCGTTCAATGTGTATCTTTTTTTTCGGGTGATATGATGGTGATGTAAACGCATACTTAACTTCCACTAATTTGTTTAATGCTGACCGCTCAAAATGCGGGTTTATAGAGATAAACTCGTCTCGAGCTGGCATATATTCTCATTCTATCAAGGAATGGTATGCGTCGTAACTTACGATCAGAAGAAGAAGCGACTGTTCGAGATACTGAATATAGTGGTCGATCAAAGATCTTAACATATTGAAGGTTAGTCTGTTACAGATTGAGTTGTAAAAAAGTAAGCACAGGCCAATTCAATATCAAAGCAAAATCAAAATAGACGGCTGGGCACTCTTCGTTCTATCCTAAGATACCCAGATCCTGCGACTATGCTGCTACTTTTATGCTCCGCAGTTTGCGGAAATTATACTTCCGTAGATTTGTCCGTGCTGGCGCACAAAAATCGTGCTCAAAAAGATTTTTGATTGGAGCATACACATATGCACATATGCTCGACCCTTTCATAAACCAAGATCTTGACATGAAAATGGGCGCAAAGCTGAGACGAGCTTAAATGTAGAACACACCGCCACCCTGTCCCACCTCGTGGCTGCAGAGTAAAGCTAGATCAGAGCAGATTTTTTCTCTGCAAAAACAGATCTGATGGCTTTTACTTAAATTTGGCGATTGCTATGGTATTCTTAAATTCTAATTGTGAAGGAGGTACAAAATATCAGCACATCCTGTGGCCGCGCATTTGGCGCGCGAAACTAAAAGTGATGCGGCAGAGATTAGTCATTTGAGCGAGCGCGCTGACGCTAAGCTATTATATTACACTTTAAAGCTTAAATCTTACTAGCCAGTAAACTTTAATCCGTCTTGCAATTTTTGTCTTGCAGTTCGTGAAGAGTTATGCTATGTGTTTGGGGTCACTGTACTGTGTTCTCTGAGCTAGCCAATTAACGTGCTTTCTTGTTATAATTAGCTGGTACTTTTATTCAATGATTCAATAATCTGGATCTTGCAATTGGGGTGATTTTGCATTAGCATGCAGTTACAAGCAGTGACAGACAGCCTAGACGGAAGATATACGCATATTTCAATTATCTTAGTAATGACAAACACCCTTTTAGTCATTAGTTTTTGCTTGTCAAGCCGCATTCAACTCGAAGTTATGTTGAAATAACACGTCAGGTAAAGCCAATCCTAGCATTCTTTTTTGAGCCGCATTGTATATCTACTAACAAAAAAAATGCGGAACTATCCCTTCATTTCATTTTCATTTGTTATACAACGCGCAACAAAATACTATTCTCCAAGAATACCTAAATTATAATATCCTACTACCAATAGGCCTATAGCCAACAACCAATTTAATCAGAATGAAAACGATTCAAAAAATGTAATGCCTTCTCGACACGAACCAGATGAGTCCCAACTTATAGCAACTTCGCCCGAAAGTAACAGAACGCGAACTAACACATTCAGTAAATGAACCGCCCAACGTATAAAGGCCAAAAAATGTAACTCTCAAAGTAAAATCTGCATCCTCAAGAACTTAAAGACCTTATTATTCTTCATCCGAGTCCCAAAAAATAACTGCACATCTAATTGAGTGAGTGTACTGAGTATCCCGTTTAAAAGTTGTTGTCAACGCACATGATAATAAAGTATATAACACGATATCCGTCACCCCACCAAGGCAATTTTTCTGCACGCCCGACCGCTGAGGTCGTTGGTAATACTCGCTGAAGCGCCCATACCCTATGCGTAGCTGTATAATGCGACACAAGATATTCCAAGGTCCCTTAACGATTCCCCGAAGAACCAAATCGGCCGGATATCTTGGTAGTATCTACTCCCGCATAAGCTACCTATTCATAGCGCGGAACCATAAAGAAACACAGTAATGACCATCCTGTTTTTTTCTTGGAAAGATCTGCACTTGCAGTACCCTTTGCCGGCATTGGCTGCCCCTATATGGAGTCCGGCCATTCCCCCTGTGAAGAACCTGTTCCGCAATCCAGCCTTTTACCCACGCAATGTTCAAAATCATCGGAAAGACCTCATGCATTGACCTTGGCGAGACCCGTGAGCAGCGCGAGCAGAACCAGCTCAAACCAGCTGTCTTATATCAATAGAACCATGAAAACCTAAATAGATAGAAAATTGGAAAATAGAAATGCCGTCAAATCATCATCGAACCATCCAATATTCGCACCGTACCGCAGTCGGTAAGACTAGATCTAAAGAGACAAAAAAGTAGGATAAAGAAAGGCAAGTGATCGCAAACGCAGAATGAGTGAAAGATTAAAAAGGGAACGCAAAAAGAGAAAAAGAAAAGTAAAATGACCTAATCAAGTCAAAGCAAAACAAAGCAAAACAACTGAAAGCAAAAATAAGCGGAATTACAATTACCCAGATTTAAAAGCTGTCCCCGCCTATTTGAGGAAAATATTCCTGATTCCTACTCAAGCCATGTGGCCACAGTTGTCTCGGCTTCACATGTACCAGATCGACGTTGAGTCGATAGAAATGGTTTTGTAGTGTAGCTGGTTATCACTGCGGATTCTGATTGTTTGAGATTTCCGCCAACCCCGGTTCGAATCCGGGCAAGACCTTATAAAGATTATGTTTTTTTTTTAAATCCTAAGTTGGTATTTTTTTTTGGTTTGCTTGTCAGTGTAAGGCCGAAATAAATTTTATGGGAGTTATCGGTGGGTATAGTAAATTAAAACAAAATCAATTAACTGATCACACTTCGCATTCTCTACGACAGATCGATGCTCGACAGTACATTTACATTGCACAACTGCACTTTTAGCTCTTTGTAAAATTTGCATCTCTATCACTTTTCTTTCAGATTTTGGACTTAAGCAGAATTTTATTTGCTCGCTGAAATTGATTTTACATTTGTCTAAAGTGCCTGTGATCATTTAAGATCGATTTTGCCATGACTCAACAACTCGATCCGACAATTTCATTCTACGCGCGAGACATAACGCCTCCACATCCTCAACAGTCAGTTTCAATTTTTCAATCTGCTTCTAAACTGTCGCCATCGTCGTCATGGATTCTATATATTCATGGAGGTGCGTGGAGAGACCCAAGAGAAGACAAACAAATGGGATATCCTTTGCTAGAGCATGTACTTCCTGCACACTGGTCTGGCGCGTCAATTGATTATCGGCTTTCACCTACTGTGCAGCACCCGACACATATGGACGATGTGATCTTGGCAATACAGCATCTGGTCACTGAATATGGGATGGAAAATATGATCCTAGTAGGTCACTCTGCGGGAGCATGTATCGCGTTGCAAATACTTGCCGAGTTGACGGCGCTTAAGCTCACTTCAAGAATGGCTGACGACAGACAATCTAACGACGACTACTTGAGTGATAAAATCAAAGCTGTTGTGGCAGTTGAGGGAATCTATGACTTGAAAGATCTCGTTTGTGAATATCCTGGTTACCGCGATTTTGTTTGCATGGCGTTTGGCGCGGACGAATTAGAATGGGAGGACGCGTCGCCTTCTTCATTTAACTGGAGTCAACTAAAAAATGGCTCAGGGGCAAAGGCATATATTACATCTTTTTCTGTTCAAAGGCGAGTCATGGCTAACGGATTAGTATAGATTACACTTATTCAATCAGCACAGGACGAACTTCTCAGCATGAGGCAAACCACACTCATGAAGCAAGCTCTAGACAAAGCGGAATGGACGTCAGAAATCAAATTCATTGATGGTGGATCACATAATAGTACTGTCGAGTCCGTCCCGTTTTACAACATCGTCGCACAGGTGTGTAAAAATCTGAGCTAAAATCTTACCATATTAATAAAAGTCGTACACATTCTCACTGCTAAAACTCCACTACATGTCATTATTCTTCGCAAAGTGCTGCGCCTCAGTTCGTATAAATTATTGACGTGGGCATTATGACTATCATTTGCCGTAAATAATCCATCTCAAACTTCTGTTGCCAGTCGCTAAACGCGAAACCGTGTATAGTCACGTGATTAAGAAACGCGTTGAGCTCTCAAACTCCGCGGCAATCTACAAACAGCAATTTAAAGCGCAGTCGTGCATTCAAGCGTCTCCATATCCTTCCTCATTCTCTCGTAACATAAGCCGTTGCTTATAGACTTTGGACAATAGCAATGCCTGAGCTTGGTGAAGTTTGTGCTATCTAATAGTTTTTGAATTGTTGACGAGCTAAATTGACAATGGAGTCAGGTCGCCTACGCTGCAAGGTTACTATCCAAATATTTAATCAACAAACGAATTTCTAGATTTGTGATAGACGCCAATGATACCATAGTGTTTCCTGCACTTGCATCTCAAGAGCGTACTTTGATTGAGAAAGAATATGCGACCAAAACCGTTGTTGATATTGGGCGTCATGGAAAGTACTTTTGGATTGTCTTGGGTGATCCCAGTCGAACAGAAAATAGCAAGAAAGCTATTTTTGACGTGATGCTTCTTCACTTGGGTATGACTGGTTGGATTCAAATTAAAGGTATCCGAACAAAGTTCTATGCAATGGAAAATTCGATAGACGGGAAGAAACGGGAAGGATATGACGAAAAGAAAGAAAAAGAAGGATGGCCGCCTAAATACCACAAATTTATGATAACTACAGATGACGGCATGGAATTCTCATTTACTGATCCTAGAAGATTAGGTCGAGTGCGGTTTATTAAAATCATTCCAGAGAAGACATCGACTGAGATTGGGAAACAGGTCGAAGAGGCGCTTATGAAAATCGAACCATTGTGCAGGTCCGGTTCTGATTTTTCAAAGCTGGAATCTAGAGATGATGAGTCTACATTCATGCAGATTGTCGGCAAACGAAAAGTGCCAGTCAAAAGTTTGTTACTTGATCAGGCCGTTTGCGCTGGTATTGGCAATTGGATGGCGTAAGTCCTCGCCTTGATAATAATGATGCTATGCTCTTTCTGACACTTATATCTACAGAGACGAGATTCTATTTCAATCTCGAATACAGTATGTCAACCGCTTGATTCCTTGTTTTCAGAAATAGAGCTAATACTCTTACTCGACAGTCCTGAGCAATACAGCCATACAATCAGTTTGCCAAGTCGAAAGCTTCTTTACGAAAAGCTATGCTCGGTATCAGAATATGCTGTACAAAATGATGGTGGGTTGCCGTTTTTTTTTTCTGGTTCTGCAAAGAAACAACTTGCGACTAACATCTAGTTTAGTCAACTCCTTTCCCAAATCTTGGTTAATGATTCATCGCTGGAGTAAAAAAATAAAAAAAGGCGAACGTCCTACAACGGCTGAAGGCTACCATGTAGATTTTGTCACTGTTGGAGGACGAACAAGCTGTTTCGTTCCAGAACTACAAAAATTGGATGAACAAGCAGTTGCCGCGGAAATTGAGGTGGCGGGAGCAAAGAAAGATCCAAAGAAGCGTCACCAGACGCAGACGAAGCAGTCAGGCCCAGTCACGAAACGGATATCAACAACTACTTCTAAAATGATCTCGGTCTCAGTTCCTGAACCAGCGACCACCATCACTACCACAGCATCATCTAAAAGGATAACACGCTCAAGGAAAATTTCAACTAAATAAATAAAATAACTTGGAAAAGTTTCGCTATAAAAACTGCCTCAGATCCATAGTTGTGAATTGTGATAATTTGTTCAACACATTACTGATCGAAACCAGCTCTTTATTCAGAATTGCAGGATTAGCAAATTGATCATCACAGGCGAGCGTACTTTTAAGAGTGCAATCTGGCATTAGTCACATGAGACTGCACAGATAGACATAAAACAGGAGATTAGTTATATTATGTAATAAAACTAGGGCATATAAAATGAAAACTAGGTCACTTCCATCTCAAGGACAGAATCAATTTTCTCCACCATTTATTGGCTGTTTCCTCCGTTTCCACCCATAAAGTTCCGTGCCCTTAAACAGCAATTAGCATATCTTCCTGTCTATTCAAAAAGCAAAAGAAACTTACAAATCCGCAATACTGGGATCATTCATCATATCTTGCATATTAGGCATGCTCCCTCCTCTGAAACGCTCGGCCATATTTCGGACAGATGGGTTGCTCATCAAGTTATCCAGCGCCCCCGGGTTCGACATGAATTGTTGAGCCATCTGCGCAATCTGTGGGTTGTTCATCAAAGAGGCCAGATCAGGCATACCACCACCGCCACCACCAAGCATACCTGCCAGCGACGAGAGATCAGGCATGCCGCCTGAGCCAGCATCTCCAGCAGATCTCTCACTCACATCAGTATCCTCCGGTACAACCGATCTCAAGTCTTCGTCGACACGGCTCTTAGCAGTCTCATATCCCTTCCGCATAGCATCTGATCCACCGTTACCTTCAGCTTCCATGCCAGCCTTGTAGGCTTCCATCGCCCCCTTGGCGTCCCCGCTGGCATACTTAGCCAGTCCAAGACGAGAGTACGCCTTTGCATACTTAGGATCAATGTCAAGAGCCTTCTCAGCATCCTTGATGGCAAGGGCGTGGGAGCTCGAGGCAGAGTAGGCAGCCGCGCGGTTTGAATAGTATATCTTGTTGGTCGCATCAAGCTCGATGGCCTTTGTGTATGCTGAGATTGCACTCTGGTAGTCTCTATTGGCGACAAATTTATTACCCTCGGCCTTGAGGGCCTCAGCCTTTGCCTTGTCCTCCTCCGATACGGCAGCAGCAGCAGGAGGTGCCGGCGCCGGAGAGGAAGATGCGGCGGGAGCAGCCCGGGCGGCCTGAGCATCACGAACTTTCTCATAGGCCTGAAAAACAGACAATAAAGTCTGTTTAGGAAAAATCTCTTTCTTGCGTGAGAGATCGACATTGAAAATCTCAGTCAAGCATTGGATTGCAACTTCAACCGAATCCTTATCTTCGTCGGCAATTGTGCCATCCTCTATCGAATTTTGAAGGAAATCAACAATTCCGAGAGCTAGATCGATTTTAGAAGACGACATTTCGTATCTTGTGCGAAACAGTGTATGTTTTGTCGTTAACGTTTATTTGGTCGTAGTGGCAGGACAAGAGTGGGGAGTTTTTTTTTTGAGCGCGCGCAAAAGTTGTATCTGGCTGACTTTTTGATTTGGAAGCGCGTGGATGGATTGTTAGCTGCCACGTCGCCAAACCCAATGCTATACTCAATCTGCGTAAACATTTGGCAATAACATTTATTTTGTCCTTTGCTATTCATTGAAATATTTTTACAAGCACGATGCCTGATGGGGATTTTCATTCTAATTTTTAAATTAATTCGAGTGTAGTATACATCACTTGTGCTCTAGAACAGTAGACCAGGCTCGAATAAAGAGAACTCCAACAGGTAGCGCAAGTGATCCAGCAAATCTGATTTATTTGCTCAAAAAATCGCCATCGCGTTAGGAGCCGAAGATACACCGCCAATTGCGTTGAATGGCATACTCGTGAAGAAAAATGAATATTTGTTCTTCTCTTTGCAGAGAGCAGACAACGCCTCGAGATCAAAAAGCTCGCCAAGAGGGACTCCCCAGCCAGCGAGCGCAGTCTGATGGACAGATATACTCTGATCAGGATTCGGGTACAGTTCCCATGCAATTGCATCCCCAACAAGAGCAGTAAAGTG